TACTCTACGTTTAAATAGTTCATGAAAGATAAAAATACATGAACAAAGAACAAGATTGAGCTTTTGGAATAAAAATGACAGAATTTGGAGCTGGGTGTAACTTGTTGATAGAGAGCTATCCTAAGATGAGCATGGTCCTGGGTTCAATCGCTAACACTACAAAAAAAAAAATGAGTCTGATATTAATACTGAAAATGTATTTTATGGCCTTGATATTAAATCAGAATTTGCAGAAGAAAATATTAATAAATGTGAAGACATAGTAGAAATAACAAAATAAAAATACAGAGAGAAAAACATTTTAAATAAATACGTAGAGCATCCATGCGTCATGAAGCAACTTTAAGCAGACCAGTCTACATGTAAATGAAGTCCTAGAAGGAGAGAAGAATGAGATTCAAAAACAGGAGTTGAAGAAGTAATAGGCAAACATTTTTAAAATGGGAGGATTTTAAATGGGCATGTGAATCTCTAGATAGCAGATGCTCAATAAACCCCAAGTACAGGATTCACAAAGAAATCTATACCAAGATATAATCAAACAGCGCAAAACCATGATGAAAAAAAAGAACCTTAAGAAACAACTAAAAAGAAATATGTGCAGAAGAACAAAGGATATGGACAGGTTTCTCATCTGAAATAATACAAGCAAAACCAATGAATCAAAAAGGAACAAAATGAAACAAAATCTTTAAAACACTGGAGTGGAACTGGGGCTGTCAACACAGAATCTCATGTCTAGCTAAGGTAGTCTTCAAAACCCAGAGAAATATTTTTTCAATCAGATAAAGTTCAGAATTCATCTCCACCCTTACATACCACAAAAAATATTAAAAGAAGGAGCCAGTCCCAGCACCCGGAAGGGAGCGCCCCTGCTGCCATTCCATGCTGCTAGGGCAGAGAAGGTGAGCCGTGCAGGTGCCAGAAGCACCCCACCTCCACCCCAAGGAACTGAGAAGACATGTAAACAAGCCACAAGAACAGACTACCAGATCACCTACAGCAACCCCAAAGGGAAACGAGATGGAACAATCTGATACTCAACCACCTGGAATCTCTGAACTAGCAACAAAAGAGGATCTGGGAAAAATGAAATCAGAAATAATTTCTCAGATAACAGC